CTGGAGGGAACCAGGTTTGGGGAAGGTGATGCATTTGTTCCTAAACATGTGGAACCCACTTTAGTGAACTATAAACGGAGCCCGCTAGGAGGCAGCCGAGAGCCCGGGCTGGAGAGAGAAATCCCTTAGCATGTGGGAGTAGCCCCGGGGCTGTGGCTGCCGCTGGGTGACTCCAGCAAGGAGTGTAACGCAAGGGAAGGCATGGCCGCTCAGAGGCCAGGCAGGAGAGGGGACGGCGGAAACCGAGACGGATGGTGGAAGCAGCTGGCATCGTGCTGTAGGAAGAACGGCATGGCCAACAGCCTTGAATGCTGTTCCCACATCTAAGATGGGAACTGAAAGCGACCACTGGATTTAGCACCACGGGAGGCCTTGCTGAGACAGACCCCCACCCGCCTCCATGTGTCCCCAGATGAACATGAGGCAAAAGGAGGCGACCTTCATTGAGGAGCGCCGGGCACGGGAGAACCGGCTCAACCAGCAGAAGAAGCTGATTGACAAGATCCACACCAAGGAGACCAACGAGAAGTACCGTGTGAGTCCCTCCACAACCTCCGCTGCGTCACAAGGAAAGGGGGCGTGGCCCCTCAGTGGGGGACGCTGCTCACCTCCCGCTCCCACCATCAGGGCCGGACCGACTTGAAGTTCTCCAATTTGATGAGCACAGAGACGCTGAATGGTAACGCTCAGCTCCCTGCCTACCCCAACCAGGGGCCCGAGAGGCCTGCCCTAGCTCAGGCCGCCCAGTCAGATCACCATGAAGCCAGGTGTGACCTGCAGCAGCTGGGGTGAAGGACACAGATACACTCCTGCCTCTCCCTGGCTATACCTTCAGAGGTCGAGAGCCAGTTTCGGGCTCGCGGCCAAGTTTGGCTGAGCCCCCAGCTTGTACACTGTAAACCACACTGGCACCCCAGGGCCCAGTCACCCAGTGTCTCCTCAGATGAGACAAGTGCAGTTCCCTGGGCCTAAGCCCCATGGAGGGCTGCTTCTGTCCTCCAGATGGGGCGGCCCTGGGGCACCCATGAAGGGCTGGGTCAGAGGAGGAGGAAGGGTAAGGTGCGGGCGACCCTGAGGGGACCCAGCTCTTGGGTGGCCTTCCCTGATGACCGGGCATGTACGGAGGCATCCAACGCCTGGCAAAGAGCTCCCACACCATTCCTGCACGCTGGCCATCCGTCCCCTCTGCTCTGCCCAGTGAGGAAGAGAGAGACCTCCAAGGAGGACATCGAATACCAGACGTACCTGACTGCTTTGGTGGAGAAAGTCAAGACCACTGTGCGGTGCTCCCACCTCTGGGTACTGCTCTCTGGAGCTCCCAGGGCATTGGGGGAAGGACGGGTGGGGTCCCTGCCTCCCCCCCCCCCCCCCCNCCACTGTGCGGTGCTCCCACCTCTGGGTACTGCTCTCTGGAGCTCCCAGGGCATTGGGGGAAGGACGGGTGGGGTCCCTGCCTCCCCCCCCCCCCACCCAAGGCCCTGGGCCAAGCCATGCAGGCACCTTTTGCGTGAATGGACACAACGCTGTGGCCCCTCACGGCTCAGAGTAGAGGGCCCTCCTGGGACACAGCTGACACATCCCAGCCACATTCCAGGGGATGCACAGAGCCACAGAATCGGAGGATCCAAACACCAAGGGCATGGCCTCCACCTTCAACCCTGTCCCCTTCCCAAACCAACAGCATCGTAATGAGCAGCCGCCTCTCCACCTGCCCCCCTTGTATTTTAATCTGATCTGGGTTTATTATTAGTAAGCCTTGAGCTGCCGTACACGGCCCCGACATAAGCTTGTCCAGCCTTGGACAAGCAGCTCAAAGCCATGCAGTCTCTTAGCAGTGGTCTCCTGTGTGTGCCTTGGGGTCAGTTGCCCTCTGCTGGTTGTGAGGATTATGGGCAGGGACACAGGGCTTCACCTGATGGTTGGTCCGTCACAAGCCCTCCGTGCCTGGCTGCAGTCGACATCATTACTTACCACTGGGAAGGACCCAGAAGAAACTAGTTCTGTGGGGCCCCTGCCCGCGTGCCCCACACCTGCTTCTCTCCCCGCTGGCCTGGCCAGGACATCACAGGCCAGTTCCTGGCTCAGAGGAACACGGAGGACAACCTGGAGCTGCAGATGGAGGACTGTGAGGAGAGACGGAGTCAGCTGGAGGCGCTGATGAAGAAGCTGGAAGCAGAGGAGACACTGCTCAAATTCCACCAGACACCCAGCTCCGTCAGGTACCGAGGGAGCTGCCCTTCTCAGGGCCACCAGCAGGCGGCTCTGCAGAGGGTCTGGGGGACCCATGTGCCCACATCCAAGGTCTTGAGCCCCTGAATTTAGCACAGCACCCAACCCGGGACGCTGGGGCCTCATCCTCAGGACTGTGCCACCTCCCTCCCCATCGTCCTCAACAGCTTTAAGTCCATCCAGGAGAAAATGAAGGACATGCTGGGCAAGGAGGAGGACAGGCTCCGGCTGGCCCACACTAACATGACCAAGAGCCAGAAGCTGCTGCTGACCATCCAGACGGGCATCGACAACCTGTACCTCCGGCTGATGGGCATCCCCCTGCCCGGAGCCCAGGTGCTGGCCCAGTGGGGAACAGGGCTTGTCCCCCCCCCCCAACAGCGTTCCTGGGAGATGAGCCCCTCCTCCTGTCTGCAGAAGGAAGCGGTGCCCCCCGACAGCCTGGACGTGCACAGCAAGCTGGCGTACTGCGAGGGGAAGCTGCTGCATCTGGCCAATAGCGTGCAGATGTTGTCCAGGACTGAGGAGGTAGCCCTGGGCCAGGGATGGGGGGGCGCCTACTCGTCCCATGTCCCCCTGGAGCTGACAGTCCACCGTGTCCTGCAGGTCAACACGAAGGTGAGGGATGCCCTGGAGTCTTCGACTCTGAAGGAGAAGCAGAACACCAGGATAAGCTTTGAGGACCTGGAGGAAGATATAATAGGCACTGTCTCAGGGCTGGGGTACTGGGCTGCCCAGCGTGGGGAGTGGATGTGGGGTGAGTGGCTGGTCTGAGCTGTGCAGGGGCAGAGATTGGGCAAGGCACTTGCCACTCGCTCCGTCTGATCTGGGCAGCTTTGAGGGTCAAGGATGGAAAGGGTGTGTCAGTTGTACCTGCAGGATTTTAATTAATGGACTTAGGACATGGAGAGGCTGGTGCCCTTGAAAGGATTTATTGATTATTATATATTCCCTGACACAGGAGCACCAGCCCCCGTCAGGAGGCAGAGAGGGGTGAGGGGGAGCTCCAGGCACTTACTGGGGTTTCTGCAGAAAAGGCAGGGTAAACAGCTTAAGATCAGCTCCTTTAAATAATTCCGGCAGGCTCGGGGTCTGGGGTCTGTACCCAGTCTGTCTGGTCCCCGGCCCTGGGATGAGTTGGCGTGCGAGTTTGATAAAGGGGGCAGGGCTCTGCATGGGTTGGTTTGCATGAAAGACACGTCCAGGGCGAGCTACCGGCCTCTTAAGAGTTGGCTAGCCCGGTCTCTCCCGGGTCTGTAAAGCCCTCAAAAGCCAGAGCATCAGGAATACAGAAAAGTAACACCGTCAACACCCTCCCCGTCTTGTGATGCGTGAACGCCGGCGGACAAACCCTGGACCTCAGGACCGCGGTCGGAGCCCAGGGTCTGCGAGCGGCTCCCTCCCTCCTCTCCCTCCTTCCTAGAAACCTTTCAGTTCGCGGACATGGACCAGAGCTACGTGCCCTCGCGGGCCGAGATCAAGAGGCAGGCCCAGCAGTTGATCGAGGAAAGCCTCAAGATAAGTAAGAAGAAGAAGAAGAAGAAGTGACCCCCGGAAGGGGGAACCCTGCCTTGGCCCCCAGCTCCCTCCCCCATGCCGGCGCTTTGTTACACAAATAAACATTTTTCCAGGACTGCTGGAGGCACCTGGGGTGGCGGGGAGACAGGAGTCTCAGAAAGTGAACTTGGGTGACGCAAATGTGGGGGATCACGTTGCGAAGACTGCGGGAAGTGGGGTGCTCGGCATGGACCCCCGGAGTCGAGGGGTGAGAGTGAGAAAAAGGGTCCAAACGGAGATGCGGACAGAGCTGTGAGCTGCTCCGAGGGCGGGACCGCGGAAACCGGGGTCCGACGCTCGGGTCTGTCTGCGTCTGCGCCGCGCCCGCCACACAAGTTTGACTCTCACCGCGCCCTGTAGCTATGCGCCTGGGTCCGCGCATGCGCATCGCCGCACCTTTTGATCCTCGCGGCTCCCGGTAGCCGCGCGTCCCGCTGAGCCGGCGCCAAGATGGCGGCGCTGACGGGCGGAGGGCTGCCGTGCCGGGGGCCGCTGGGGCCGGAGTGGAGCCGCTGCGGCTGAGCCTCCGAGCTGCCCTCGAGGCAGGCGCCCGGCCGCCGCGACGCGCGGCATGGTGCCATCCGCGCCCCGCCGCCGCCGCCGCTGCTGCTGAGCTCGCGGACGAGGGAGCGGGAAGATGTTTTCCGCGCTCAAGAAGCTGGTGGGATCGGAGCAGGCTCCGGGTCGCGACAAGAACATCCCCGCCGGGCTGCAGTCCATGAATCAGGCACTGCAGAGGCGCTTCGCCAAGGGAGTGCAGTACAACAGTGAGTACGGGGCGGGCGCGCGGGGGTCCCGCGGGGGCGGGGGGACATGGAAAGTGGGGTCCGAGGGCCCGGGCCGCTGCAACTGGAACTAACCCTGACCTGGGAAGCGTTCGGGGCCCTGTCGCGCCCCGGGGACCTCGCCGTTTGCGGGGAGATTGTGGTAGTTGCCGTCCGTCTGTTTTAAGATGTGGTGAGCTCTGACCTGCGCTGGGCACGTTGCGGGTGCTCTAGGGAGTTTATTTGGGCCGGTGGTTTGGTCCTAAAGGACCCCCGGGCCGGAAAGTGAGCTCCCCTCTGACTGATGGATCATTCCCGAGGAATGCTGGCACAATAAGAAATCTGTGTGTTTGCACAGTAAAATTTGCCCAGGCGGTTCCCGGTGCGCTCTGCGGTCCCCCGATTGGCTCAGGTGACCTCGTCTAAGAGGAATTCTTACATAACGTGGAGAGAGAGCTCTATGGTCTGTGACACTTTTTAAGGGGTGATGGGGCTCTCGGCCAGTGAACAGTGATAACCTGCAAGAGCAACGGTGAAATCCAGCTGGCTCTGGTAGTTTAAGCAGTGGGATTTCTCTATGTAGACCTGGTGTTCAGTTTGAAGACGGAATAGCAGCTACGCCACACATTTTTGCTCTCCTCCCTTTTTTAAAAGAAGTATTTGTAAGGGATGCATTTAGAAAAGCTCCAGAAGGCACAGAGACTCTTCCTTGCTGTTGTAGGAGATCTCTCTCCCTCAGCGGTTAGGAGCTATTTACGGCTGCCCCAGAGTCCAGCCCCATCCCAGTCCCGTTATAAATTATGTAAATTGTATGGCTCCTAGATGCTCACCGTCCTCTTGACCTCTTTTAAGTTTTTCCATCTTGCTGGCCTTTTCCTAGCAGTGTTTAAAGGGTTTTTATGTTCTCTGCTTTTAAGTTGTTTCCCTCTCTCAAGTATTTCCATATATGCTACATGCTTTGAGGCCTGTCTCCTCCTTTGCTACTTTAAGGGGAGCCTTCCAGTCTATGATGACATATTTTGGTGATAATGTTTGATATTAAGAAAATGATTGGACAGTCTTTTGTGCAGGTTTAAAAGAGGTCGTTGTAGATGTATTCTCACAATTTTGTATGTATTTCACATTCAGAGAAAAGTAAGTCAAAATATACATTTATACAAATCTTTAAAATCTACACTTGGATCCTTTATTTAATTTTATTACTTACAGTATTATTTTCAACTTAATCCTAGTCCTTTGGGAAAGTACTCCCATAAGAGTTGAAGATTTCCAAGTATGTGTTTCTTATAGCATGTCCTCTTGGGGCTAATAAGTCACTTTCTTTTAAATTGCTGTGATAATGAGAAGTGACATGCTACATGCAGAGTCCCAGCATACGAGTCAAATAGGATCAAAACCTGAATGAGTCACTGGACCGTACTTGTAGCTTGGAAGCCAGGTCTGCATATAGACTGGATGAAAGAGTGTTACCTGACTTGGTCTGACCCTTTTTATCTCAGGTGGACATAATTTATCAGCTGTGTTTGGTGGATAAGTTTTAACTCGGGGCAGCTTCCTGAGCGAGAAGAGGCCAGTCTTCAGGAACTGGGCAGATGGCTGTTGCTCAGGACTGTGTTCCTTACCAAGAAAGCCTCCAGACTTTGCCTTAGCCAGAGTCCTAGCCAGTCGGATCTCGGTGCTTAGAATTTTAAAACGGACTTGAGCTCTTCCTCACTAGGAAACCTTTTGAAAGGTTGATTTCAAGGTTAAAAGAGCTTTTCCTGTAGGAAATAAACAGGTAAGTTTGGCAAGTTTTTTGACCTGTCCCAGTAGGGCCGATCTGCAAGTTCCCGAGCCTTTGCTGTCCATGACATGCCACGGTTTCCTTTATAGGTTTCCCTTCTCTAGCGTTCATTTATTTAGCAAATATTTATTGAGTGTTCATTGGTGAAAACCCTGACACTAATCTCTGCCTTGCAGGAATTACGTTCTAGTGGAGGGTGGAAGACAGATAGTTTACAGTAAACGCAATGCGTAAAGAACCATGAGTAAAGAACCGTGCAGACTGTGAATAGTTAATTGCTATGGAAAACAGGTAGAACAAGGTGAGGGTGGGGACGGGCTTGGGACTTGAAATAGCTGTCAGACAGCAGGCCTGGTGAAGCAGAAGGTAGGGAGGATGAGGGGAGGGTACAGAAGGTGTGTTCTGCATCAAGGTCACAATGTAGTGAGGTCCAGAGAGAAGATCCGCAGGCCAGGCCACAGAGGTGAGGGTGACGTGGGCCTTCCGGCCATCGCAGGGACTTTGTGAATGAGAGAACTTTGAAGGGCTCTGAGCAGAAGAGCAAGCGTGTGTTGGGAGCGAGCTGTGCCAGAGCAGGGGGACCCACTGGGAGTTTGTGGTAGCCACCCTGGTAAGGTGATGGTGGCCCAGGAAAGGCCGTCATTAGGACCTCAACCCTTGCATCCTCCAGAAGTGATGCACGTTTGCATCTGAGATGAATCATATGCTTTCTTTTGGTACGAAAAAAAATGATTCCCTTTTTTTTTTTAAGATTTTATTGGGGGATTGGGGGAGGGGAACAGCGTTGGGGAATCGGGGAAGGGGTACAGACAAGTTGCTGTCCTTTTGTTCTCCAGTCTAGTTGTGGAGGACGTTGCTTCACTGGCCCATGTTGGTTTTATCATTGCGCTTTTCCCAGGTGAGGCAGATCAGTTGCTGGTCACTGGATGGCCGCTCATGGCAGCTCCACTGCAGCCTAAACCATCACCTGCGACTGACGGCAGCCCAGCTCCAGGTCGAGCTGTTGTTCACCATCTTAGCTGTAGAGGGCAGCGTCACTGGCCCTCATGTGGGATCCGAACTGGGGCCCTGCTGCTCAGAGCTGGCGTCCCAAGCCAACTCTTAACCAGCGCGCCACTCAGCTGGCCCAAAATGATTCCCTATTTTGCAGGAAATGTTTGGGGCTGTGAGTGAATTAAAGTTGAATCAAGGGTAAAAAAAAGATCCACAGTCCTGCAGTAGAGCCCCGTTTCCTGAACTGCGTCTTCACTTAGACTAAAAGGACATCTCAGAATGGGAGTTGAGTTAACCTGTTAGTAAAACAGCTAGTTTGCCGCATGCTTCTTTGGTAAAGGGCTTCTCTTATTACTTGGTGATGAATGTATCTTAATGAAAGGCTTTCTACGTGAATCACTTACTCACCTTACTTGAGCCAGTGTCTAAGGTTCTGAGAGTGATTTGACTTTTTAACTTAAAAGTAGGGAGTGGTTACTTTTTAAAACATCTGAGACCAGATCGTTTTATTTATTTCTGACATAGGGTTTCTTCCAGTTAACTTTTAAAATTAGTAAATTTCACATTTTAAAAGGATTTCAGTTCAAGTAAAACTTTTCATCCTCAAAAGCTAAAAGAGAATAGAAAACAAACATGTTAAAATTGGTAAAGATAAAAAGAAGGAGACAGCTCTAAGATTTTATCAAGACTCTGAACAGATAAGTTGTGTTTGGAAAAGAACCAAAGAGAAATTAAAACATTGACATTAAAATAGAAAAGATAGCATAACTTAACTGAAGAGAGAGTTAGTGCCTGGGAGAGAGTCGTGTGGCACAGAAATCAAGCAGGTCCCAACACATGTTGGATGGAAATGTCAGATGGAAAGAACCGCGAGGATGGAGACGAAGCCGTATTGGAAGAAAAGACTGAGGACTTTCCATAATTATGAAATACGTGAAATTCCACGACATGTAAGTCCACAGTTTTAGAAACATCCACAGCTGAACACATCCTTGGAAACTTTCAGAACATAGAATCAAAAAGAAAAATCGTAGAAGCAACCAGAGCAAAAAGTCTGTCTTCAGGGGACCAGCCAATAAACTGATAACACAACTTACAGTAACATGAGTGGCCTGAAGGAGACTCCTTGTCAGCCTGGAAATCTATACCAGGTAGCCACTATTCAGGATGAGTACGATTAAACCCATTTTTGGAAGATGGACAGCTTCCTGTGCTCAGGCTCTTGCCAAGATAGATACTGAAGGATGTATCCTAGACAAACGGAAACGGAGCTCAGAGGTAGGAGTGGGTTCACAGGGCACAAGCAGGCACAGAGATGGGCACATGTGAGTGAAGTCTAAACACGTGCTGGTTCTGTTAATCACTGTGCTGGATGTTAATATGGGGAGTGAAGAAAGAAACAAACCCCAGACGTCTGCACATCACGCAGGAGAGAGCTGATCAGAGCTCAGGCATTCGAAAACCTGTCTTATTTAGGAGGGCAGCAGAGAAATTTAACTTCACACTCTATTACAGCAAATGTGAATGTTAGAAATTTAGGAGTTACCATTCAGAATAGAAATAGATTGCAACGCTTCCAAATACGATGCAAAAAGAATAAAAAACCTTGCCTGACATGATAGAAGGCAGGGGGCTGGGGGAGCAGGGGCAGGAACTCACACTTGTCGCATGCAATGTCAGAAGTGACCCCACCTGTCCCCAGTCACAGGCGGTGGGGACAGGCAGACTCACCAGGTAAAAGAGAAAGCCTGAGGCTGGATTTTTTAAAAGATTAGGAATACCGATGTAGAAAATCATTAAAATATTAATAATAACAAATTATTACATTGGGTCCAAGTAGAATTACAGGAATGTAAGGCTTATTGAACAGAAAGTATATATTGTATGATTTTTTTGTTTTTTATTTTTATTTTTTTTTATTGTATGATTTAAAGGAGAAAAACATTGTCATCTCAATAGGTACAAGAAAAGACCTGGTAAGATTCACCACCCATTCATGATTTACAAAAACCAAATATGCCCACCTCTGAGCACACTGGGAACCTAGGGAATTTCTGTCACCTGTTTGAGGGTATCCACCAAAGCCCATAGCCGATGTGATAGTGAAACATTAAAAGCCTCCTCTGGACTAAGACAAGGACCCCTGCTTTCGCTGATCTTTTTCATCGGTGTTTGGAATTCTGCCTGGCACAAGAAATATTTAAAAATTTTTAAAAAGTGGGGGTTGGGGGCGGGTATAAGCCCCTTTTTAGGGAAAAAATTAACAAAATCAGACATGTGAGTTTCCTCTTTGTCAGCATGCTTTTATGTGTAAGAAACTGAACACTAGACTGAAAAAGGGCTTTGTCAATAGCGCCCAACTTCTATTTTGGGCAGTATGATAAAATTGATAACCTGAACAGCCCTGCCCCTAAAAACAATTTTTAAAGTTTGAATAAAACATTTAGAAAAACATTAATCCCTCACTCAGTTCTTCAGCTTGGATGAAGAGCACACAGCTGTTCACTGTCCTAGAAAGCAGAGAGGGTGGTGCTGGGAGGGCACCAGGCCGACCTTGGGAGCTGGGCTTCCATTTTCATGGGGGGGGGTGCGGGGGCAGACCTGGAGCCCCTTCGAGAAGGGGCACCTTGGGGAGGGAGGTGCCTGCACAAAGCCCACTCTCTGAGTACTTGTGGCCCCAGTTGCCCTCCAGGTGGGTTTGCCTCAAAACCGTCAATGTGGTCCCAGAAATCTCAAGTGGAGAATTTGCTGAAGGAGGTCCCTCCTGGTTGGGAGTGTTCCAGGCCGCAGGCAGGCATGTCTATCACACATACCCTCTCCTGGCTGCCACTTCAACCCCTACCGCAAGGTTGCAAGAAACCATGAGCTGCCAGTCAGAAATGAGGGAAGAAATGCACAGGAAACAAAACAAAGTCCCAGTAGTAGGAGCAGCGGTGACAGCACATCAGACCCACTAAAATCAGGACATGCAGAATATTTAAAGCACTAAAAGAGGTTTGAAAATACACTTACTTAAGAACCTGTAGGCTCTACGGAAAGACCAAGCGGACTCTGAAGAGAGCCTGCCCCCTGCAGCGAAGGTAAGAATGTGCGAGTAGGAAGTAAGAACATGAACACGATACCCCAAAGGGAGGTGTTCAGAGTAAAAGGGAGACCTGGGGACCAACACCAGTTTTGTCCCTCCCTCATTCTGGTGAGCCTGCCATCCAGGAGGTCAGGCTGCAGAGGGCCTCTCTGTCCGCCTGGCCCTCACCTCGGGGCTCCAGCCAGGCCCCCTTTGTGGGGAGCTCCATGGACCAGTGTGCTGGCTGCTGGTCAGCTTGGATTCCCCACACACACGGGCCCAGCGCGTGGCCCACAGCTGTGTTCATAGCACCAGTCTGTCTTGACTTTTATCCTAGGGCCATGTCTGTCCCCTGGCCAGAATCAGAGATCGACTGCCTATAGCCTTGAGAGCAGTAGTTCCTTGTGTCCTGTTGGGTGACACGGTAAGGTGGGTGGAAGAGACACATCCCTGAGATATGACTAGAGATGTTGAAAGTTTGAGAACAACTAATCCATTTCAGTGACTAAGGTTGGGACTTTGGGGGAACACGGAATGGGATGAGGAAGTTGGTGACTGATTTCATGGAAAAAGAAGCAGGTGTCTCCGAAAATAGAGGGGCCTTGGACTAGGAGGGGAATGGTGAGGAGAGAGAAGCTGGAGGGCCCCAGACCACCTGGCCAGGTCAGGGCACCAAGACAGCAGGGCCCCAGCGCCCTCTGCAGCTCTCTTGGTGGCCTCACCCAGCCCGACGGCATAAAGCACCTTCTACAGTCTACATGGCCTGCGAGGCCGCTTGGAGCTCCGGCCAACTGGCCAGACACCTCCCCCCACCCCTCCCCCCCCTCCCCCAGCCTACCCATCTCACTGAAGGGCACCTCCAGCATGCATTTTCATGGGCAAAAACCTCAGCCAGTTTCAACACCATTTCCCCTGAGGTCCAGTGATCCCCAAAGGCTGTCATCTCCACTCCCACACTGGCTCTGCATGGCACTCCTGCCTGCCCGCCTTCAGCATCTTTCCAGTAGACCAGATCCTGGCACTCCTGTGCCAAACCCATGCCTTCTCTCGGAGGCAGCGGGAAGCCCACACTCCTGTGTGGAGCTATGGGCTCCAGGCCCTGTAAGCCCCTGCCCCTGCTTGTCCCGCTGGCCCGGCTTGGGCTCTCCTGAACCCTGTGCTGTTATTCCACATCCACACCTGGCACACAGGCTGCTCAGAAAATACTTGACGAGAGGGCAAAGTAGAACGCGAGCTTTCTGCTGTAAGCCCACACTTATGTTCTAGAAAAGCCTGGCGTTCTGCAAAATTGTGCACTAAAAGTACAGGGCTGAGAGCAAACCATCTAGGGATAGAGGAAGCTGCCTAAGGAGCACACCCCGCCCTACCTCCAGCAGCGACCCTGACCCTGACCCTGCCAGCCCTCCTGTGTGTCCAGCTCTAAGGGAGGTGGCTTTCCTATGAGTACAAAGTCCAGTCCAAGCAGTTTATCACTCCATCAGCCCAGGAGGAAATGCCTCCCAGGTCCTCTGTGGAGCAGGGAGAGAGAGCAGAGGGCCCAGTCACCCACCGGAGCGCCCACGGGTGTGCACTGAGGGGGCACGGTGGGCTCTGGTCTCCGAAAGCTACGCAGGTGGCGGCGTCCCTCACCCCCCACCCCCGGTGCTCGGCTCCTCCCTGCTCTCCAGCCGCACAGGCTGCCCTAGGAGCAAAGGAAAACATGTGTGCCATCTGACTGTCGGGGAAGTTCAAGTTTGCCTTTGGTTTATTTACCTGATCTGCCCTTTCTCCCTCCCGCCAGTGAAGATAGTGATCCGAGGAGACAGGAACACCGGCAAGACTGCGCTGTGGCACCGGCTGCAGGGCAAGAAGTTCGTGGAAGAGTACATCCCCACGCAGGAGATCCAGGTCACCAGCATCCACTGGAACTACAAAAGTGAGGGGGGGACAGCTGCTGTGCCCTTTGCAGGGTGGGGGTCTTTCACTCCATTGCCCTTCCCTGGCCTGGCTCCTCACCACGGAGTCGTCATGGGAACCGTACATGCGTGGGAGCCCCCGACCTCAGAGGGGCTGTCATGGGGATACTCATTAAAGTTGCTTTGGGGCCTTGAAATCCACCTCTTCCTCCTTGAGACCCTGGAACGGTAAAAGCACCAGTTAAGCACGGGTAACGTCCTGGGAGAGCCGTCGCCTCCCTGGGCTGGGGCTTCTGTGCTGCTGCCCGTGTGGAGCCGCGCGTTTGCTCCGCCCGAGGAAAGGTGCCCTCCGTCCCGTTGAGCCCCATGTCTTTGCTTCAGGGTTTGTAGCGTGCCTGTCCCCGGGACCGCTTGGTGAGCAGAGCGCACCTCGTGGCCTCTGGGCGTGGCCAGAGCTGCCCGTGGGCCCCGTGGGAAGCACGGGCTGCTTTGCGTGTCAGGAAGCATGAAACATTTTAAACGTTCCTTTTCATTGAGAAGAAAAATCTAGTGGGTCAACAGCAGGACACACAGAGCCTTGGTGCAAGTTTTTTTTTTTGTTGTTTGTTTTTTTTAAAGATTTTTATTGGGGAATTGGGGGGATGGGAACAGTGCTGGGGAATTGGGGAAAGGGGAACAGACAAGTTGCTGTCGTTTTTTGTTCTTCAATCTAGTTGTGGAGGATGTTGCTTCACTGGCCCAAGTTGGCACCATCATTGCGCTCTTCTCTGGCGAGGCAGATCAGTTGCCGGCTTCTGGACGGCCGCTCACTGCGGCTGCTGGCTGCTCACGCTGGCTGCTGGCCACACACGGTAGCCCATGGCAATCCACTGCCACAGGGACTGCAGCCCACGCCGTCGCCGGCGACTCATGGCAGCCCAGCTCCAGGTTGAGCTGTTGTTCAGCATCTTAGCTGTGGAGGGCAGTATCACTGGCCCTCATATGTGGGATCCGAACCGGGGCCCTCTGGCATCCCAAGCGAGTTCTTAACCATCGTGCCACTCGGCCGGCCCTTGGTGCAAGTTTTGACTCCCACTTAGTGGAGGCCGGGCCACATCCTGGGGCACCTGCTCGGCCTCCGCGTCACCCCTGCTGACCAGCCAGGGGCTTACAGGAGCCTCTGGGCAGCATGGCAAACTCCACCCACCCACCCTTGGGGTAGAGGGGTGCACCCACTGCCGCGAGCCTCTCTGCCATCTAGGGAGGGAGTGTTCCAGGTCCCTGCACATGGAAATGCCCTGGGCAGGAGCTGGGTGCCCTTAGGGACAGCACCCAGGTCATGGCTGGTGTCTCCAGTGACACCCAGACAGCCGCTAGAAGCCCATCTTTGTGAAACCGGCAGTTCACTTGGGTACTAATGCTCATTTTCCCCCATTTCAGCCACTGATGACATCGTAAAAGTTGAGGTCTGGGATGTAGTTGACAAAGGTGAGTCATGTCTTTATTGCACGTACCTCTCTCTTTCCTGCTTTATTCATCTTGTACAGAGAAGAGCCCGCCCCCTCCCCTCTTACACCCAGCTCGTTTGCATGTCCCTGAAATCTCTGCTGGCCCGTCAGACACTGTGCATGGCGGGGACGACCAGGAGCCCTGGCCGTTGGAGGTCTGGGTTGGTGCCAGCTGTCCATTCAGTGTCTGGGTTCTGGGCCAGCTCCCCAGCATCTAGTGGACGGACGGAGTGCACAGCAGTGGCCTGTAAGGGACCACGGTCTTGGCTGTGTAAGCATCTGTTTCACCTGCTGAAACTGAGGCCAGGGCGGTGCAGGCAGACGTGGCCAGCGGAGGTGGATGGACTCCAAACCCAGAGGCCTACATGAGGCTGTTCTGGGAGCCCCTCCTGCAGTGCCGCTAGTGTAGCACCCCACTTAGCAGAGCCCCCATGAATGAGCGCCCGGAGCCCAGGATCAGCTCCCTGCTTCCAAAGCAGCCATCCCTTGGGTATCTGTGTCCACCTGGCTCTGCCTCACAGGCGCTGCCAGCGGTGGTGTCTCCATGCTCTCACAGGGGAGCGCTTGAGCTGTCGGAGACCCCAGCACACACACAGACCACCCCGAAACCACCGGCCTGTGCTGTGTGCACCCGGTGGTCAGGGGCGGTGGGCTCCCCCTTTGGTGTCTCGTTTTGTTTCCCCCTCACACTCAGGTGACAAGTCCCTCCTCTGTGACGCTCAGGGGAGCCCACATGCTTCCCTGCTGCTGAGCACAGTCTGACCTCTGACCTCTGACCTCACAGGCACACTGTAGCTGCACGCGCCCTCCAAGGGAGGCTGTGTCTTCTGTGAGCTTGTGATTTCGGGTGGAGAGCTTGCAGGCCCCTCTCCCCCCGCTGTGCTCTTTGGGGTGGGCGTGGGCGCCAAGAGCCAATTCGGTCGGCCCAGGAAGGACAGTGAGGCTGCTGATGGCAGCCCTGGGCCCTGAGCGCCAGCAGGAGCGCCAGGACACCTTAGGCCGTGAGGAGTCTGTGGGGCCTGGTGCTTCCAGAGCGTGCCTGCAGCGCGTCACGAGTTGGGACTTGGGCGCGTTTGGAAGGCAGTCCTGCGCAGCCCAGTCACTGTCCCGGGCGAAGGGAAGCCGTCGCTTGGCCAGAGCTGCCCTCCACGCCCTGGGCGCGCCCCCACCCTGCTGCCCCAGTCCCATGCCTAGCTCCAGCCGCCTAGATCTGCCCTTGTTTAGGAGGGATGTGTGTCTGGACTGGGGCCCCTATTTGGGACAGGGCCCCTTCTGAGTAGCATGTGTCCTCCGTGGTGCAGAGGCTGACACTGCCTGTCCCAGGGGACCTCCGAGGGCTCCCACTTCCTGCCTGTGTAAGGCACGAGCCTTATGGTAAAGTCAAGGGGGGCAGGCTCCTGGGACAGTCCCCTGTGGCTTGGGAAAGAGATGGGGCTGCACAGCAGGGTAAAGGTCCCCAGCTTGCGGGCCAGCGGGCACAGGGCTCCACGCGAGCCCTCAGCATCCTTGCAGCTCCGTGTCACCTGGGTCTCCTGGGGTGAGAACCTTCTTGAGTGAAGGAAAGGCGTCTTCTCTCTACCACCCTAACTTGTCACCTGTTAGATGGGGTCAGAGGTAAGGGGTTCAGGAAGAAACTGTGGAAAGAGGCAGAGGTTGGTCTTCTAATAAACAAACCCGTTTGTTCTGGGGTTTTGTTTGTTAGCTTTACCGACCTGCTGCTGTGAGACTGGGGGCCTCGAACTCCCAGGGTGAGAAGCAGTCCTTCCTCCCTGGTTGGTGATATCTCAGCTACGAAGGGGAGGGGAGGTGACAGCGGAGCAGCTCTGTTTCTCAGGCGCCACCAGAGCCAAGCCTCAGCAACTTGGGCCTTCTCAGACCCACGTCAGCTTGTCCACCCTCAGCACCAGCTCGGGGCCACCATGGCCTTCACGTCAGCCCCTCAGAGGCTGGGCCAGGCTGGCCCATGCCGGCCGGCAATGCCTTCTCAGGGCTGGGACCTTGTCAGTCCAGGAAGGAAGTGCCTGCCTCTGAAGCAGAACTCAGTGGGGCATAAGGGTGGTGTCCCCATGCAGCCGTTGAGCCCTGCTAGGCCTGCCCGGTGCCTTCAAGGCCTGGCCCAGGGGGCCCTTTCTCCAGGTCGGAGCTGCCAAGGAGGCCTCACTGGGGTCTGAGCCGTGTCCTGCTGTCAGCAGGGCTCCCAGGGTCTCCAGTCAGTGTGGCGCCTACTGGAGCTGGGAGCTGGGGCATGGGGGGGGTGGGACACAGGGAGGCCATCCTTGGGCCCGGTGATTCTACCCACTAATTTTCGTGTCTTTCAATAAGGAAAATGCAAAAAGCGAGGTGATGGCTTGAAGATGGAGAACGACCCCCAGGAGGTAAGCTGTGTCCTGCCCTGTGACACCTGTGAGACCCTATGCAGAGCTTGAGTGACCTGAGAGGGCTTAGGTGAACTGGCCAAATTTTATATCCCCATCACAGAGGCCTCAACCCTTAAAAGCACAGGACATGCCTTTAAGCTGTGACCCGGGCACACGTGGTTAGGGGCGTGGCTCCTGGGGGCTCTCACGTAGTCACGGCCCTTGACACAGAAGTCGGGGTCAACCAGTACTCTCCGTTCCAGGGGCGCTTTTCAGGTGTTTCCGAGGGCCCTGCTCTGTCCTCCTGTCCGTAGTCGGCCTCCTGCCTCCCCTTCATGTGAGGAAGTTTAAGTGACCGCCTGGCCAGGTCTGCCACCCCAACCTGAGTGCTCTAGAAGGTTCCCAGGGCTGCAGTGCACTACTTGCCGTGGGGCTCTGGTTGCCCGGCACCCTCACCCTTCTGAGTGCTGGCGAGTTTGGGACTCTGAGGTTGGGGTGCCGCTGGTGGGTAGTGGAGAATAGCCCCCTAGGGCGGGGGCAGAGTGATGTGGCCCCAGAGCCTGGAATAGTTACTGCCAGACCCTTCGAGGCAAAGCTTTCCTACCCATACTAGATGACCTTGTGTTTACGTGTTTTTTCCCCAAAATGAAACGAGCTGGTGTCTTTTCAGATGGTAAAAGTCCTCTCCAGCCTTTTCCAAATGTGGGTTCCCTCCTGTGGGACCCTGCCCGGAGCACTGACTCATGCCCGTCTCCCCCCACCCTGCACGCAGGCGGAGTCTGAGATGGCCCTGGACGCCGAGTTCCTGGATGTGTACAAGAACTGTAACGGGGTGGTCATGATGTTCGACATCACCAAGCAGTGGTATGTAGGGGCGCTGGCTGGCAAGCACCACCACGGCTCCTGGCACCTCCCCACCCCACCCCAAGGGCCACCCCGTGGCTCAGCACATGGTGGTTTCACCAGCATCCCCGCTGGTGCCAAATCTCTCGAGGGCCAGCTGTAAGCCGTGTGTACACTGGCGGTTTAGCCATGCAGAAGCCCAAGCCTAGATGTCTGTGGGCATCTGCACGTGCGGGCATGGGGCTAGGTGGGGAGCTGTTCCCATCTGCATGGAGGGCAGGCTTGCTCAGGGTGGTGTGGCCAGGTGTGCACCTTCCTAAAATCAAGTGGCCACTTGTGTTGGGGGCTCCTGGGATCCCCCATTCTTTAACTCATGGTAGGAGGATACACAGCTAAGGCTCATCCCAGTGAAAGGCTCCAGAGTGAGATTGGCGGGGGGTTGCCAGGGTGAGTGCGGGGGTAGCCTCATGGCCAGGCCTTCCCTGGGCCACTCTGCTGCCACCCAAAATGACAGTCGTCAAGAGGAGCTGACAGCAAGCAGCATGTTTACAAGCAACCTGTGGGGTGTTGCCCCGCCTTTTACTCTGCTTTTCGAGGGTGACTGTTATTACTGCATATGGAATGCATGCTTGCTGTAGAAAAATTCGGAAATGCAGAGAAAAACAGAGCCCGTCATGAGATTTGCACTGTGGTTGTGTGGTAGAGCCCAGCCAGGTCTCCTGAGCGTTGCACATGCACGTTCTCTGCAGAACTGGGACATTGCAGATGACACTCTTACTGAGGGGCACGTCCCCTACTGCCCAGCTGTGCTGCCCTGCAGGGACATACCTCCCAGTGCGGACTGACCACCAACATGCGTGACTCCCCTGGGTGGCAGCAGGCAGCATGTTGGAGACACGCGTGGAGTGGGATGGCAGAGCGCACACGTCACAGACACATCTGGGGCTTCGCCAGGGGAGCCCGGCGTGCGTCCTTTGGAAGCTGCCCTGGCCATTTGGCCCAGGGAATCAGGCGCTTCTCCTGTGTCGGCATACACTCGGCCTCCGAGCATTACCGGAGCGCCTTGTAGCCTTTGCTGGACAAGCAGTGACCCAAAGTAAAAAAGAGTGATGCAGGAAAGCTACGGGCGGATGAGCTAGGGCCACCTGTGCCTGTGAAGGATGGGAGACAGGGCAGGAGGGCCCGAGGAGGTGGTGGCAGACATATGTCCACGAGGTCATGAGACCTGGGCACAAGTGTCTGGGGGGCAGGTGGTGCCAGCTGGGGAGCCCAGGCACTTCTCGAGCCCTGGGATCCCCAATAGTTTAAGTACGTGGTAAATAAGGTAAACCCAGGCCGCAGACACGGCGAGTGCTGTGCCTCTGATTCGCGCGTGCTTGCTCTGCATGAGGAAGTGTCCTCACACTCCCATTAGTTACACCTTGCGTGCCATTTGGAAGGTGGTGTGTGACAGCCCTGTTAGACTGAGTGACCGTCAGCCCCACAGGTGTGGGCCGTTTCAGGGGACCATGCGAGGCCCCAAGTCCACTGAAGAGCAAAGCACTGAGCAAGAAGGGACACCTCAGAGAGCCCCATGGGCCACAGCCATGACCTGCGGAAGAGTTGTGAAAGAATACCGCAGGAAGGGGACTCACGAGCAGCTGGAAACGGGCAAAATCCAAAGGCTGTTCGGTGGGGCAGAGGCGGCGTGACACCTGAGGAGGGCAGGGCACGCGTGCTGGTGAGGGAGGGTCCGGCACGCCCCCCCACGCTGCCCTTCACACCCTGTGCACGCGAGGGCCCTGGTGTCCGGCGTGTTGGGCTGCAGCTCAGGCGGGTCTCCTCCGTGCTCTGAAGGACCTTCAGCTACATCCTGCGGGAGCTCCCGAAGGTGCCGACCCACGTGCCCGTGTGCGTGCTGGGGAACTACCGCGACATGGGCGAGCACCGCGTCGTCCTGCCCGACGACGTGCACGGCCTCATCAACAGCCTGAACAGGTGAGTGCCGTCGACCAGGGCCTTGGACCTGGGTTCCTGTCACCTTGTGGGTGACCCCTGCTCCTGGCCTCCCATGTGCTCCATCCGCAGCCAGCTCCTCTGCTATAGGGCCCCGCCCTCCAGTCCCGTCAGGTAGACTAGTGCCATCTTCAGGCAACCGGCTAGGCCTACCTGAGTGGAGGGCACGCCCCCCCACCCCACCCCACCCCCGGGGCCATGGCGCTGAGGTGGACAGTGGGGTTGAGCGTGGAACACAGACGTGGACCTGATGGGAGGGCCTTCTTGGTCACACCCTGGGCAGTAAGGTCTGGAGAGTGAGTAGCAGATGGCAGGACCACTCTGCACCAGTGACCTGGGATTGAGGACCCGGGGTGGCAGCTGGCTTCCTGGCAGCGAGCAGGCCCGGGAGGGGAGGGCATGTGGGCCCAGTCCAGTCGTTGCCCACTGGGCACTCAGCTGAGCGGGGCCCCCTGAGGCTTAGGTCTAGGCCAAGGGACCGCAGAGCCACTGGCTCTCCTTTCTCTGGGGTCGGTCGGCTACAGAAGGTGGCTCAGATGGCCGGGGTGTTCATCCCGGATGGGCCGTGCCGCGCTGCCCAGCACCACGACTGTCCCGCGTCTGTCCTTTCTCGAGCAGGCCCCCAGGCTCGTCGTACTTCCGCTACGCCGAGTCCTCCATGAAGAACAGCTTCGGCCTGAAGTACCTTCATAAGTTCTTCAACATCCCGTTTCTGCAGCTCCAGGTGAGCCCGCCTGCGGGTGGGGACAGGCTTCTCCCGGGGCTCTGGCACAGGGACGGCCAGCTTCCGAGCCTGAGGAGGCAGTTTGGCAGTTAGCTTAGCGTGCAGTCACTGGTTGGAATTATGCTGGCACTGGTGGCCCTGGGACAGCTTGCCCTGTCCCCTCCCCTCTGCCGGGTTGGCATGGGACGGGGGCCTCTCTAGAACCACAAACAGCAGGAGCACGTGGGCGTCCTAAGGCATCCTTCTCAGGCTGAGAACCGGACGCCTGGACCAGCTGTCTGCGCTGAACTGTACCATGGCCCACCCCTCTTCACCATGGGTGCCCACGCCACGCCCCAGCTCCTCTGAGCCCCTTGTGGGTGGGCCAGCCACCCCCACTGTGGACCTGCTCCTCTCAGCAGTAGCTGTGGGGACTGTCCTGAAGGTACCCAGCCTCCCGCCTAGATGTCCCACGCCCCCTCCCTCTGCTGTGCAAATGCAGCCTCAGGTTTGCAGCCCACTGGGCCTACGTGCCACACCTGCTGCTTTTATAAACTTGGTGGTGGTGGTGATTCTTTTGTTTTTGTTGTTTTGTTTTTCTTATTTTTGTTCATTCTCGTTTTGGCAGTGATTCTTAATTGCAGAGATGGGCAGAGGGTTCTGTGCCCCTCACTCAGTGTTGGCCCGTCCCATTTGCACGATGAATTGTCAAAACCATGGAACCGCAAGGCTTTGTCCGCCTTCTGCACCTCTGGGGTCCTTGTGTCCCACCACATACAGCAGTCACTTTACTTGGCACATGACATCCTTGCTGCTTGTCACCAGGGTGTTGAGCCGCGGCCCCTCTGCAGCTGCAGTAGCTTCCGCTCTTTCTCCAGGAGGACGGGGAACTTGCTGGGGAGACTGGCAGTCCTCCTTTCCTCTTGCCATTTTGAAAGAAACGCGGACCCTGCTGGCTGACCTGGGTGATGGTGTCCCCACTTAGGTGGGGGCCGGGTGTCACTGCACACCTGGTGTCGCCCTCTGCCATTCTTAACAAACGCCTTTAATTTTTTACCTGAGTGACATGCACACAAACCCCAGGGACAACACCCTGGGTGGGTTCTGATGGTGGCCCCACACTCCCTGTCTCAGGCCGTCAGTGCCATGTGGCGCCAGACCAGTGGCAGAATGTTCTGTAGGGGATTGCACACGTGAGAGCTGAGTTCTGGTACAGGCGGGGGGCCGTGTCCACTCGGCGTGGAAAAGCAGATGGCAGGAAGACTGTTTTCAACAAATGTTGGGGCTTCTTAAACCTCGGGGGCACCTCATGTCATCGGGCCATCTCTGGCTGGTCTGTTCCAGCACTGACATCCGTCCTCGTAGCCACACTGAGTGACTTAAGTGTCAGCGGTCATGCCTCAGGTGCCATTCAGTTCAAGGGCCACCCAGATGGGGTCGCGAGGCTGGAGAGGGGCCGCTCGCTGCAGCAACACCCTACTCAGGCCTCTGTTTTCCTTCCTTCAGAGAGAGACACTGCTGCGGCAGCTGGAGACGAACCAGCTGGACATCGACGCCACACTGGAGGAGCTGTCGGTGCAGCAGGAAACCGAGGACCAAAACTACAGCATGTATGTCAGCCGGGGGCTAGACCCACAGGCGGGGCTCGGGAGGCCCCACGTCCCCTCGATCTGTCAGCCTGGGGGACTTGTGGGACTCAAAAAGCCAAGTCATTTCAGCCACGAAGGGCTGAGCAGCTGCACGGTCCAGGCCCCGCAGGGCGGATGAAGGTGGGCCTGGCTGTGCCGGGAGGCCTGCAACTCTCTCTTCCCTGTGTCAGGTTCTCTATTATTAATGTGTAACAATAAAACATTTAGAGTAAAAGAAGCGCTTGTCTAGAAGTGGGTTAAAGTTTAAGTGCAGCCCACCTGACCTTGGGAAGAGAGACCTGGCTCCAGAGGCACCAAGGCCCTGCCACCCGCTGCCCACGGAGCAGTGTGGGGCTCTGAGTTGGTGGGCATAACCAGAGATGGTTGCTCGGCTCCCGCCCCAGACAGCCACCTGGCCATGGGGACATAGGCACACAGGAGGTACAGCTGTTGGCGCTGTGCCTCTATCCAGTCCAGCACGCCTGTTGGCCGCCTGTCTGGCCAAGGCTGCTGTCTTTCGGAGCTCCGTTTCCCAGGATGACACCAGCACAGAGCAGGGCCTTCAGAGAGCTCCTTGACCTTGGGAGGGTTGGGGTGGTAGAGACCTGTGGGCGGAACAGAACCTTCCGCTCTTTGATAGGGTTAGTGTTCACACCTGGGCATCGCCCTGGCCCTGCCTGGGTGCCAGCAGCCTGTGCAGTCCTGCGGAGAAGGCCGAGAGGGGAACATCTGTGCCCTGTTGGAGTCCCCGGGGTGTCCGCAACTGTTGGGGGACCGGGAGACACTTGTATTTCAGGGCAGGCGAAACCCTGAGCTACCTCTAAAGACACGTGGTTCCCAAAGAAAGCACCAAAATGTCAGGGTCCCAGGAACGCTGGTTCTGGCTGCGGCCCTGATGGGACCCTGGCACCTTCCAGCTCCCCCAGCAGGTGTCTGTCCCCTGGGAGACTCTCAGAAGGGCCTTGGGTCTCCCTGGATCCAGACCTGGCTGTTGGCTCTAGAAACAGCAAGAGTGAAAGGCAGGAGTCGCCCCAGAGGGAGCCCTGCACAGGAGCTGCCGCCCTGGCTGCCACACAGGTTTCCTCTGACACCTTACACATCCCCAACACCCAGCACGCTGACCCCCGGGACATGGCAGTCTGGGCCAGTGTCCCACCCTTAGGAGATGGGGTCTGGCTGAGGACTGGACCAGTCTGTACTCTACTCCCAGCCTGTGTCAAACCCGAACCCCAAAATCCCAACCTAGAGGTGAGGGCAGCCAGCCCAGATACCCCCTTCCCGGCCCCCAAGGACCCAGGCAGGCAAGCAGGGGCCAGCTCCTCCTCCAGACCCGTGTGAAAGCCCCCTTCAGAGGACGAAGGCCTTCCTACAAGCTTAGAGAACACTGTCGTCCTCAGCCCAAGGACAACGGCTTGGAGGCTCAGTCCTGCCAATCGGGAGGGGACCTCCAGCCCCAGCCCCCTCGCCCAGACACCTTCCCAGGGATGTTCTGCTTGATGCTATGGGGCGCAAGAGCTGCTGAGCCTGGGGACAGGGACCCCGCTACCACCATCGCTGTCAGCCAATGAGGAAGAGACGAGGAAGCAGGATTCTTACTCCTGCCCTGTGTCCCCCCAGCTTCCTGGAGATGATGGAAGCGCGCAGCCGCGGCCATGCGGCCCCACTGGCGGCCAATGGGCAGAGCCCGTCCTCAGGCTCCCAGTCCCCTGTGGTGCCTCCAAGTGCCGTGTCCACAGGGAGCTCCAGCCCCAGCACGCCCCAGCCGGCCCCACAGCTGCCCCAGCACACCCCCTCGGCCTCCCCAACATCCCCCACAGAGGCTCCGCTGCCCGCTGCACACCCTGTGGCCCCCACCCCACCGAGACGCAGCATCATCTCCCGGCTGTTTGGGACCTCGCCAGCTGCTGAGGCTGCCCCTGCGCCCCCAGGTAGGCTCCAGGTGTGGCCCCTCGGGGTGTGGGCAGTCAAAGTGGTGGTTGGTGCTGTGGCCTTGGCCCTGCGAGCTCCCCCAGCTTGGGACAGGGTCCCTTTCTTCCTGGGTGGGCAGCTTGCTGTTCCAGTCACATCATCCCTGTTTGCGTCCTGGCCCTGTGGGCACAGATCCGGAACCAGCTGCAGAGGCCCCAGCGAAAGTCCAAGGCGTGGAGGATTTTGTTCCCGCAGATGGCCTTGACCATGGCTTCCTAGACGACACAGCCCCCCCGAAGGATGAGAAGAGAGTCGGGGCTGAGGTCCCTCAGGACAGTGACAGGTGAGGGTGGCACTGGGCCTGTGCCCTCTGTGGCACTGCCACAGGCAGCAGCTGCCCTTCTCAGCCTCAGCCACAACTGCACATTCCTGCATGTGCATATCCCACGTCACCATGTCTAAATATGCAAAATGACAGAATGAAGCCAGCGCCATGTTCCTACCCAAGTGTCTAACGCCATCTGTGGGCCCCACCCTTCACCCACCACCCTGCAAGAGATTAGCAGGCCCAGCTGGGCTGCTGTGCCACTCCTGGCATCTCCAGCCCCCTCTGCTGCCCCCCACGGCCTCTCCCACCAGCCTGGCCTCCATGCTGCTGCAGCTTTTGCCACAGCAGTGGGACCCCTCCACAAAGCAGTCCCGCAACCACTCTTGAAGCAGGTCCCTGTTTGCAATCTGTGTCCCCACAGAACCGTGAGCACCAAGGGCAGCAGCCCCACAGTGCACACTCCTGGTGCAGAGGGGACCTCCAGCGCCTGTGGATGCCCGAAGTGTTGGGGAGTTCAGTACCCCCTCGTGACCTCTAACCACCCTGCCCCTCCTTTGCAGCGATGGGGATACCCCAGGAGGAAACCCGATGGTGGCAGGTTTCCAGGACGATGTGGACCTCGAAGATAAGCCACCTGGCAGGCCCCTGCTACCCACAGGCCCCGCCCCCAGGGAGAATATCCCTCTTTCCATTGAGGAGGTAGCAGGGCACCCCAAGGCCACTGTCTTGGCCCCCCAGAAGTGTGCGGAGCCAGAGACCAAACGGTATGTGGAGGCGTCATCAGGGGAAGGGACCCTCGGGTGGGGCAGCTGCAGGGCCCCTGACCAGCTCCTTGTCCGAAAGGTCCTCCACAAAGGCCTTGAGGCCGCACAGGAGTGCAATTCCCAGGGATGCGGGGCCGCGAGGGCCTCCTGCTGAGGGCTCCTCTGGAGGGCACCCAGATGGGAAGGACGCGTCTTCAGAGAGCGACCCTGAGGGGCCCATTGCCGCCCAAATGCTGTCCTTTGTCATGGACGACCCCGACTTTGAGAGCGACTCTGACACTCCCAGGAGAGTGGTGAGGAGCCCCGAGGACACACGCTGGGCAGGGTGTGGCAGGAAGGCGGTGAGGGTGGAGAATGCTGGGCGGCCTGCGTACCTGTTCCCCAGAGCCCAGGCCTTGCCGTGGCCCAGACCCAGGGTCAGGTGTGGGACCCCTTGTCACCTGCCTGGGAAATGGGGGAGCCTAACTTGAAGAGTCCTGTGATGGAGGGACCTAGGGTGGCAGCCTGACCTGCCCGCTCGCTCCTCCTCCAGGATGAGTTCCCGGTACGAGAGGACCTCTCCGACGTGACTGACGAGGATGCTGGCCTTGCCCAGCCGCCCCCACCCCCCAAGCCCCCCGTCTCTTCCTTCCGAGTGAAGAACGACGCGGATCTGTTCGGGTTGGGGCTGGAGGAGACAGGCCATAAGGCGAGCAGCAGTGAAGGTAGCTGGGGGCCTGCTCGTGTATTGTCCCTGTCCCCATCGTGCTGAGTGGTGACACGCTGGGGCACGTTTCTGACCCCTTATCTGTCCCCCCGGTGGGCATAACCAGAGATGGTTGCTCGGCTCCCGCCCCAGACAGCCACCTGGCCATGGGGACATAGGCACACAGGAGGTACAGCTGTTGGCGCT